GGGCACGCATATGACGCTGCCCAAAGGCCTGGCTGGTGGTGCCGGCCTCTCGCCATCGCAGCTAACCACCATTACACAGAAATCGAACACTGGACGCAATCACATCATCACGGACACGCTGCCCGGCCCGGAGAGCTGCGTCTAAGCTGCGGCTATCGAATTATCCTGGCATCAAACTAAAGACTGGCGCACAACCGAAAACAGAGATTCAAGAGAAACAAAAAACCGAAACCGAAACTCAAATCGAATAGAAAAGCTGCAATTGAAGTAGTTGAATGAGAAATCACTATAGTAAATCTATATATATACATACATATATGTATAGAGCTAGGGCAAACACTTACCAAAACAAAAAGTAAACTAACTATTCGTAACTAGCAAACAGTTCTACGATCGTGTCTCTAAGCATTCAATTCTTATTGCTAGACCTAAATGTAGTCTTTAATATTTAGTCAATGTATGTGTTCGTGTGCATGTGTGTCTGTTTGTTTGTACATGTTTAGTGTAAATGTGTTTCTAGCTGTAAACATATACATACATATTTATATATATATCTAGACATACATAGCCAGGTAGTCAGCATCAAGTATGATCAGATGTAATTGAATATATCCATGGTTCTATGACAAGATATTGGGTAAAGGCATATCCAGACCGGAAGAATCTATAAGCATCTGCTAAATGGAATTGTATTACCTTAAAGAAAGATTTCAGTTAGCTTTGAAAGTATATCTTTAAGAGAGATATTCGACTTTTATATATCAGTAAGATAGGTGAAAAAATATTTGACTCCACTGAGATTTTGGTAATCTGAATCCAAGAATATTTTAAACTGAAGTTTTCGTCAAAGCGGGTTCCTATAAACAATCATAATATCAATTTGAGTAAAAATAAACTAAGTATAAACCGTTATTCATACTTGATGCTGAAGCTGAGGCCCAACTATTATTAAAAAACAAAAAAAAATCATCTTGTTGAATTTTGCTGTGTACTTCCAAGCAAACCCCAAAGTGTTGTTAAGATAAGTTTTCCTTTCCCTCTTTTACTCAATGAGAACATATCCTACCAAAAAAGAAATGAACAAAAAACATATCCTTTACTGTCCAATGGAGCCTTTACCGTTACTTAGCCGCAACTATTTGAACTGCTGCCCAAGATCAAAGTCGAAAAACAAGCATTTCACATTTGGGGGTCAGCCCAATGGGAAAAAGTTATATTGGGAACACGTCGTGGGCCATTGCCTGTCCCTTAGCAAGAGCGAGAGCGAGGGGAGCCGCAGAGAGAAAAAGAGATGGAGAGAGAGAGAGAGAGAGTTGGGGGAGAAGCGAGCCATTTTGGCCATTATTTAACTTTTAAACACGCACCAGGAACAGCAGCCCGGCAGATTTGAATTTAATGGGCATTGGGCATTGGCCATGGCTAACAGGCCAGCCGTCCAGCCAGCCAGTCAGCTAGCCAACAAGTGAGCAATAAAGAAAAGTTTAGAAAAATATGCGATAACCGCCCTGTGGATACCCATAATAAGCTCACGAACGATTGAATGGCCATGGAACACAATAAAAGCTGGCTAAGGACTCAAACGAACTGCGGGCCAGGCTGGCGGGCGGGCAAAAACTCGTGCATGAATTTGTGCGCACGATAGCGCAAAATGATGACAATAAATGGAAAAGTTTTTAATAAGCCAATAAAATGATTTATATGGCTAGCATTGAGCTAGAGGGAAACAGAGAGACAGAAAGACAGAGCAGCATAGAGCTAAGGTATGTGCCGCATACTCAGCAGGTTTATTAATCGTAGGCCAAAGTCCGATTGTTGATTTACCAACTGCTTCCGACAATTTGATAAACATGACTTTAACACACACATAAATTCCATAAAACAATTTATAGAGTTAATTTAGAAGACAAACGAGAGGACACCACCTGTCCGACCTAAGTGTATAAATATTTTTTTTTTCTGAGTCTTAAAGCACCATATGCTTGACTTTCTACATCAATTATCAATATGTATCGATAATAAAAAGAGAAGTTTCAGAAATTTAGAGATCTAAAATATTCAATATTCGCGGGTATTTTGTTAGCTACATGAAATTATTTCATTGTTTTAATTAAATCGATATGTCTTGAAGCGAATTTAATTTCTGAAAATATTCATATATAAAATATTATTATATAATATAATATAATTATAAAAAATGCAAGCTTCCAAATTTGATTTCTCAGTTTTCACACTAAATATATCACTTTTTGTCTAAAATGAGATTTGTGCTTAAAGGTACCCGAATTTTCATTCAGTGCAAGATTGCCGGGTATTTTCTAGTCAGTAATTTCCGGCTAGAGCTCCTCATATCAGTCAGTTTTTGTTAATCAATTGTTGAGAGAATACAACGAATTATTTACTTAAAAAAAAAAAAAAAAAAAAAAAAAAAAAAACTCTGGGACAGTCATATTGGCAAGCAGTTCAAAAAGTTGTTGGAAAAATCAATTTTTAAAAGTCTATTGCTTTCAATTAAATATTTTTAAACACAAAACAAAAAAGAAAATGCCTTTTGAAAAGGTACGGCAATTGTTATCAAGGCATGTTCGCATATCAGAAATGCATCCCATATGTTTAAACTATTAAATTAATAAGTGTTCAAAGGTTGATCATCGTCACTTGGATTTTTAGGGTCTATAAATTGCATTTCTAGCGAAAAACAAACTAAAAGTAATTTAAAAAAAAAAATAAATATATAAATAAATTTAAACATTAAGAATGTGTGAATAAAAATGAAAAAAGCATATAAAGTTGTAAACCCGAAAAGCATAAATTGTATTGCTATAGATAAAAGTAAAAATCATAAACTTCCTTCCTTCAACGTGTATAAGCTAACGTCCCCTGCTGTAGATATTCAGTACGAGTAGTTGAAATTTTCAAAAAACGAAATCATTTAGTGCTACATATACATACAAATACATATACATACAAACACATATTACGATCATGAACAAGATTATGAAAGAAGAGGAAAACAGCATACGAACATGTATCAAACGGGCCTCCAAGAGGGCGACGCATTGTACATAAATACATAAGTCAAAAAAAAAAAAAGAAAAAACCAACGTAAACACGATGATTGTAACTATCTATGTAAAAATGCTTAAAATATTTGTGATAAAGTAATAGTGTTAATGATAAGTAATAAAACATGACATATTATGAAAAATATATCTATTGTTTTCTGAGGGGTTTCTTTTGCTTAAACCAGAAGTGCTAAAATGGTTCATTTATTACGAGTCTAGAAGTCCACTAAAAATATTGTAACTCATAAAAGACTATTTAAAACTCGTTCACTGACCCAAAATTATATACACAAACGAGATATTATTTTTCTATATACTCAATAGATATACTAATAGATAAGTATGTTCTTTTAAAACTGCAATCAGAATAGCCACAAACTCTAACCCTTATTGCTTCACAGACTACTCTTTCCGTTACTATATACAACTTCCAGCTGAATCATTCACAAACATGAATAAGAGTTCATTAAACGCATCAGAGCTAAGCGTAATGACAACACACAATTAACTGAGGCACATATTATTATTAAAAATATATTTACATTCAATACGTATGAATCTGTAAATGAATCAGAGATATGTACATATATCTGACTGAGCAATGATTAATACTGCATACCCTATAGCTATTTGAGCTATGATATGTCGCCTGTATGAGTTTGGAGTTTGGAGTCTTTACCTAGAGTGGACTTAAATTGAGACCTTGTAGCACAATAATTCTTTCGAATTAACAGATCTTTTTTTTTATATATACCCATACATAAAATAATCTGAAACAAGCCTCTAAAAATATTCTATAATTTAGTATTTGGTCAGATGATCAAAGGGTATTCAAAAGTCTATGCTTGACTGGTAGCCGACTCTTATCGCAGTTTGCGGAATGAGGAAATGTTGACAGATTAAGCCGAAGCAGTGGCGTAGGCAGATTTTATAAGAGGGCCCCTGTCTAGACAGACCAATGAAAATAGCCTGATGCATACATAGATCACGCTGCAGTCGTAGCGGTTTCTTTGCGAGCCCCCGTCGACGCCACTGCGCGTCTATGAAAATACAGTTAGTGATTATAAAGTCAGATTGCAGATTTTGATTTGTGTTCAAATTTACTCAAAAGCTCAGTGTCAACGCGTCTTTGTGCTCAGCATCAGCGAAATGAAGTCGTTTACTGTTTTTTTGCTGCTCACCTTTGGCATTGTCGCCTGTAGTGCCAGGGTATGGAAATTCGTCAAATTTGGTGCCCTATAATCAATAATGTTTTGCAGCATCATCATGAGGCTGATGCACCTAAGCTGCCCATTACGCTCTATTATGAAGCCCTCTGTCCCTACTGCATGCATTTTGTAACCACTCAGCTGAACCCGTCGATGGTGCGCAAGGATCGACTGCACTACACGAACCTAACCCTGGTGCCCTTCGGCAACGCCCACGTAAGTGATTTGCATGTGCAGCGACTAGAGGTCTCGTCCATATGAATGAGCATTTGCTGCTACAGCTGAACGAGAAGGGTGAGGTGACCTGTCAGCACGGTGAGGACGAGTGCGAGATGAATGCCTGGCATGCCTGCATACTGGAGCACAATGACATCAACATATCACTAAAGCTAATTGCCTGCATGATGCGCGGTCGCAAGAATAATCTAGACAAGTGCGCCAATAGATATGGCATTGATGTGACTGCTGTGAAGGACTGCAAGAGCGCGCGCAGCGTGGATGAGATATTAAAGAAATATGCTGAGGCGACGGCTCAAGTGGACTTCCGAGGGGTGCCGGCCATAGCAGTGGATAATGCAAGTATAATCAGCTTTAGCTCAATATTATATTACAAGCAATTCTCCTTTTTCAATCAGGAATTCAAGTCTGATGACCAGGATGAACTTTCGGATAACTTTGACCAAACATTCTGTGCCAAGTACAAAGCCAAGTTTAACATAAGACTCAAGAATTGTTAACAATATGCCAAGCAATGTAGCTTTATGAACATTTATAGTTGCCTAATATACAAATATATACATAAATTGGTATTTTCAAAGTCACTGAGTATTCGTGAATATAAAAAGTATTTGATTTTGGCCAACACTGGACGAAACGGCTTCAGTACATAATTAAAAGATCACAATTGAATATCTAACATAATTTTAGATGCATGTTTAACTTAGTTTTGATTTTGATTACCCCAATATTTATACTTAATATAATATTCATCAATTATTTTTTCTTTTCAAGCATTGCAATAATTCTGTCCAGCTTTGCGGTTTGTTGCGCTTCGAATTCATCCAGTCTTTTAGTTATTGTGAGCTGCAGCTGCTCGAACTTGGCGTCGATTTGCTGCTGTACACTTGGACTGACATCAGCGTCAGTGGCTGGTGGCATTGGATTAGGCTGTGCTGGGCACGAAAGGCCTTTCATCATGCACAGAAACTTTTGCAACTTCTCATCATTTTCATCGGCTTGATTAGAACAGCCGCTCGCGCCGCCTTTTTGCAGCAATTCCTGTATCTTTTGTATATCAAATGGCTTTTGCTGCTGAGTGGTAATCCCATTCGGATTCGGAGCAATGTGCAACATAGCGCCATACACACAAATCTCCTTGGCAGAGGTGAGTAGCTTCAAATTAATCTCGGCTATGCCAGAGCGATCGATTTCGACATCGTAACGATAGGGTCGTATGGGTATATCCGCCTCTTGCTCTTCAAGGCTGGTGCCATAGATGGTCTCCAGATACTCCTGTGTGGGCCCAACAAAGACCTCCACTTTGGGTGCGCTGCACACAAGCGTTATGGCGGCAATTTTAAAATTTGGCGATATTTGAAATTGCAGTTCACAGGGTATTGACGGGCAGTCGTTGTTCGAGAACAAAACAGCGCGCTCCTCATCGATAACATCGTCCAAGTCGGGCCTGCAAACATGTATATAATTATATATATAAATATGTGTCTAAACCAGTTTGGGCGTGAATGCAATTTTTAGCTGTAAATGGAAATCCTTTGTCTAACTTTTCAAAGACATCTTCGTCCGAGTGCCGTGTGGGTATCACCTGTTGCAGCTCTTTGCCAGCTGTTTGGGCCCAGCTGCATCGCGCAGTTACTTTCTCAGTCATAATTTTCAGTTGTGAGTAATAATAGCGATAATAAAAACTATTGCAGCAGCTAAGCTCACAAACGCTTTGTTTACTGCTGCTTCTTCTACATTCAGATGCCGAGGCTGCCCATCTGTTGCGATAGCTGGGCGAAAAAACAAACAGCAGCAGGGTTGCATTTTTCGATACGAGTTTGGCGCCAAACGTAACCGCCTTACGTAATACCAACCGCGAACAGCCCACACAGCGTTGCAATACGCTGTTTTGACAGCCACGACCTTGATAAGCCCCCTTGTAGGTCATATTTGAGCAGACTCAAAGGAAAGCGACAGTGCTATAAGCGCCATCGCCGCAAGTATAACATAATTTTCCGTAAACTAGTACAATTATCAAATATGGGTGGCAAGTACAAGATTGTAATGGTTCGCCACGGCGAGTCCGAGTGGAACCAGAAAAATCAATTCTGCGGCTGGTACGATGCCAACCTGAGCGACAAGGGTAAATTTAAGTTCACATAATGAAAGACATAATACAATCAATCGATACTTTGTGATCAGGCAAGGAGGAGGCTCTAGCTGCTGGCAAGGCCGTTAAGAACGCTGGCCTCGAATTCGATGTGGCCCACACGTCGGTGCTGACCCGCGCACAGGTCACTTTGGCCAGCATTCTGCAGGCCAGCGGCCACAAGGAGATCCCCATCTACAAGACCTGGCGCCTGAATGAGCGTCACTATGGTGGTTTGACCGGCCTGAACAAGGCTGAGACCGCCGCCAAATATGGCGAGGCTCAGGTGCAAATCTGGCGTCGCAGCTTCGACACCCCGCCACCACCGATGGAGCCCGGCCACCCCTACTACGACACCATTGTCAAGGATCCGCGTTACGCCGATGGACCCAAGCCCGAGGAGTTCCCCATGTTCGAGTCACTGAAGCTGACCATCGAGCGCACACTGCCATACTGGAACGATGTCATCATTCCACAGATGAAGGAGGGCAAGCGCATCCTGATTGCAGCCCACGGCAACAGTCTGCGCGGCATTGTCAAGCATTTAGATAGTGCGTCACAGTTGTCATAAACTCTAGATCATTTTTAAAGTATCCACTTCATCCATACAGATCTGTCTGAGGATGCCATCATGGCCCTGAACTTGCCCACTGGCATACCGTTTGTCTACGAGCTGGACGAGAACTTCAAGCCCGTGGTATCCATGCAGTTCCTTGGCGACGAGGAGACAGTCAAGAAGGCCATCGAAGCTGTTGCTGCCCAGGGCAAGGCCAAGTAAACGCTAATCTCTATCTCAAAATAAACAAGCACAATTGCTAGACATTGTTTAGTTCGGCTAGACGCTGGACTCATCCTCCCGTTTGTTGTTGTGGTTCTTGTAGCACGAATCCGGTTCATCCCCACTCCCAAGTACAGTTAATAAATAATTTATTATAACAGAAGCCAAAGGTCAGATCTTTGGGTTTTATTACATTCACTTCCTCCCCTGATTCGATCACTTACGTTTCTTCTTGCCATCCTTGGCTAGCTCCAAGCCCAATATGCACTTGGGCGGCACCTTGTAGGTCTCCGTGAGCAGCGTGTATATGAAGCGGATCTGATTGCCCTGCACCTGCAGCTGCTCGTGCTTCTGATGCGGCAGCTTGACGATGCTTGTGCTGGCGGCAGCGCCTTGTTTGCACAGCTTTATCAGCTCGGTCATGATGATGCCGTAGGCCTCGATGTTACTCACCAGGGTTACTTTCTTGTTGCCCGACCTGGTGGCCAGGGACATTTGTATTTGGGGCTTGCCACTGGTGTCCTTGCCGCTGCACATTTGATAGGAATGCTCCATTTTACTCGTGATAATGGAGGTCAGTTCGCTCAGTGTACCCTCTCGATTGCCGCACAGTTCCTGGAGCACCGCATCGGGACGCACCAGCTTTGTCTGCGGATCGATTAGGTTATGCTTGCTCACATATTCGCGCACAATCTTCTTGACCTGACCCACGGGAATGCCCTCGCCTCGTTTGTAGTTCAACTTTGTGAAGAACGCGGCGGTGACGTCAGACACGATATACATCTCCTTGAGCTCTGAGTGGAACAGTAGCTTCTCAGCCGTTGCTCCGCTGCTAGCGCCCGTCTTCACATCCGTTATAAAGTTCACCAGTTCTGGATGCTCCAGATCGACGGAGATGATCTTATCCACGCCCTTCGTCTCCTCCCGCACCACTATGAAGCCCTGATCGACCATCTCTGCCAGGAAATTGGACAGCTTCTTATAGCGCGTCTTCTTCAAGTCAATGGGTTCAACTGCCTCGGGCACCACGTAAAGCCTAAAGAAGTTGCTGGTTAGTAGCGGCAGCGGCAACTTGTTGCCATTGTGCTTAAGCGCAGCCAAAAATGCCTTTTTGAGCAACGTTTCCGGTGTGGCCTCATCTGGTGATGGTGCTTCGGGAACTGCTGAAGTTTCACTAGTCTCGTCCAGCGTTAAGGCTGTTGTGCTGGACTCCAATTCAACTGATTCTGTAGCTTGTGATATCGGTTCAGGTGAAGATGCCTGCTCGGGTTGTGGAGCCTTGATCACTTTGCGCTGATGATCTGGACTACCCAAGGCGGGAAAGTCGTCAACCGTCAAGGTCTTCATCTTAACCAGAGGGATTTGCTGCAACATTGTGGGCTCATGGGCCCACAACTTATCGCCGAACATGTGCAGCATTTTAACAGCCACGCCATGACCACCGCACATGTAGAGATCATCGCTGGAGCGCGCCAGCTGGCCCACGCCCACAGCCGAACTGTTATTTGTCAAGTTAACTGCAACTGCAGAAAACGAAATCGGAAAATTTAGAATTAGAATTCAATGTACAATATTCCATACACTCACTCAACTGATCCTTCTTGAAGTGTCCATACATTTGGTGGCCAACGCCAAGCGGCACTACGCCGGGCAGCATCAAATCCGCCCCATTCGACAGCTTTGGCAGCACGCCCTCGTGTGTGGTGAAATAAGGCAGTATGTCGGGCGTTGCCCACAGTGTGTAGAGCGTGGGCACCAGCTGCCCGCCATCCAGCTCAAAGAACATCGGCTGCTTGTCCACGCAGTAGACCATGCTCGGCTGGCCGCCATGTGTGAGAATTTTCAGCTGCGTCACATTCGCCTTTGCCGGCAGCAGATTGTCGCCCGGCACATGTGGGAAGGCTAATTCGAGTCGAGCTCGCAGCTTCTTGGATTCGGAGCCTTTGAGAGCGGCACTGCTCTTTAATCTGTAGGGTTTTAAAAACATGAGCGGAACTTACGAACAATTTGCGCACGTAAACTAAACTAACTAAATAAATAGAAACTAACTGACGGTCACAATAGACACGCGCCGTCGCCTGATGAGCGAAAAATAAACAGCTGATCCGTGACTTTCAAAAGTAGCTAAACAATATAATTTAAAGAATAATGTATGAATTCATTTATTGAATTTGAATTATTGCTCTGCGGATAACTAATGCACATTTCATAATTTATCATAAATATATTTAAGCAATAGTTCACAATAGATTTCTGTTGATGTATAATTTTCTGTTAACAGTTTGCCGGCTCGACTGTTAAGAGACTCAATAGGTTACGCGAGAAGCAGCTCTGTTACTGTTTATGTTAACTAACAGCTCGATGGTGACGTCACAGTTTCGGCTCTGAAATTTGGCGGGCACTTAGCAAATATCCTTCAGTAATAAATTTATTGGCTATATTTCAAATTTAAATTAAAGAGGTTTTTTAATGTTATGTTCTTATAGCTAAATTGAACAAAGAAAAGGAAAACTAAGGTGTCAAAAATCTATTTATACATGGCGTTTTCCAATTCTGTTACTCTCTAATTTTTTAGAGAACATATCATCTAAAAGTAGATAACTTTATGTTTTAGAGTGCCTCCGAAGAGATTAAGCTTTGATATAGTCCAATAGACTATGTGAGACACAATAAATCAGAGAGTAAGTAGAATAGCTTAGGAAGGGAAGAGAAGAAGAAAGAGCAGAATGAAGACAAACAATAAAAGCCATAAAGTTGTTTCTCTTGAATTGTACTCAATAAAAATGAATACGCTTTTATTTAAAGAATAAAATAAACGTTCACATCAAAGACTCGCTTGATGCAAATTAGCACGCTACATTTGACGATCTCAAATCGTTTTGTGAGTTAATGATGCTTATGAATAAATTATAAGTATAATAATATTCGATAAGGAATGGAGCTCAATCGAAGTATTTCTTGAATTCCAAGCAACCGGCCCAGTTCTCATCCCAGCCGGGAGTCACCTTCTTGGCGTTCTCGTACCACTTGCTGACGTTAGCGTACTTGCTGATGTCGAATTTGGCCACTTCGAAGCTGGACACTGTGGCCAAGATGGCGATGTCGGCGACGGTGAGCGAGTCGCCAGCGACGTAGGTCTGACCCTCCAGGAAGGTGTTCAGGAATTCGAAGGCAGCCTCGATCTTCTTGAAGGCCTCGGGATCGGCGGGCGCCTTGGCGAACACTTGGGGATAGTAGTAGTTGGCAAAGCTCTGGTACAGGGTGCCCATATCGAAGTACAGCCTCTGGTTGATCAGGGCGCGCTTCTTGGGGCACTTGGGATAGAGCGAATCGGTCTTGCCGTACTTCTCCACCAGGTAGACCAGAATGGCGCGCGACTCCCACAGCGCGAAGCCATTGTCCACCAGAGTGGGGATCGTGTGCTGGGGATTGATCTTCAGGAATTCGGGCGTCAGATGCTCGCCAGCCTGCAGATTCAGCAGCTTCTTGTTCAGCTCAACGCCAACAGCCTTAGCGGCCATGATGACGGAGCGGCAGGGCGAGGAGCCTGGCAGATAGTAGAAGTCAACCATGTTTGTTTTACTATAATTAGAAGAGCACAGAGAGTAAACTACCATTAGACGCGCACTATAATTTCAGCAAAAACATATGGAAGCCCATTGGGAATCATAATTAAATATCGGGCTCATGTAGTATATATGTATGTATGTATGATTGTATTTATATACGTAGTCCTGTGATGTCATAGATATAACTTGTTATTTGTTTTTCTCTCTTGGGTTTTTTCCACACACTTCAAATAGTTTTTTCTATTGTTTTTGGCTCACAAACACAAATACACACAG